TCTTTGGCTTGCCTTAAGTCATGTGCTTTCCCCTAGACCAAGCGCTACAGCCCACAACTGCTGCTGAGTGGCCCCACCATGGCCTCATCTGGGGCTGGGCCGGTTCTGTCTGGACCACATGCACAGGAGTGGAATGGGCTTCCCAAGGATGTTGGGGATACTAGAAGGATGCCCGTGGGAGTCAGTGGCACCTGGAGCCTGCTGGGGACGAGATTCTCCGCCCTACCATGCCCCCACTGGGTCAGGATTTCCTGGAGAAGCCAGGGGTCTTACAACAATCCCTCGGATGTATCCACGGGACATGTCCATGCTCCCTGGCTGAGACATGTGTCGGCTTCTCACCAAGATTAGTATTTTATTAACCAGTGTGAGCTAATATCCTCACCAGAATCGTGCAGTGGGGAAGGGAAGCTCCAAGGGAAATCCTAATACTGCATCTAGGAGGGAGATTTGTTGGACAGGTGGACAAGCAGGTTGAGATTCTTGGCCAAAAGTAGCTGTGCCTCGTGACTCTGGGGACAATTACTGTCTGCAATTGTCTTGTCTTCAGCTTCAAATCTGAGCTCACTTGGGATACAGAAACATCTAAATTTCAAGGCACATGCTGTAACCTAGCTGCCAAGAGGGCTGAGGCCTGGGCTTGGTCTTGCCTGGGTGGATGAGGGGGATGTCTTTGCAGACCCCACTGCCCACGGATCCTCCTGTTGGGAAGCAAACACTGGATCCAGCTGGGCTTGGGCCAGAAGTCTGCCTAGGCACTGGGTCAGCTGCTGGCTCTCCTGGGGAGCACTGGGAACTTGGCATCACCTGCCCCAGTGCCAGTGTTCCCTCCCTGATGTTGAGGTCAGCTCCTGGCAGCCTCGGGAAGGTCTCTGTGGCTGCTGGGTGCAGATTCTTTCCAGAGAGTATGCACATTCCCAAGCTGCCTTCTTGGGGTGCCTTGGCAATCGGAGTTATTCTGTAAAATGTCTGTTAACAATAAACATACAGAAGTCCAAACTAACCTTCCAAGGTTTTGTTTTTTTTTTGAGTTGAAGTCTCACTCTTGTCACCCAGGTTGGAGTGCAGTGGTATGCTCATGGCCATCACAGCCTCAACCTGCTGGGCTCAGGTAATCCTTCAGCCTCAGTCTTCCAAGTAGCTGGAACTACAGGCACGTGGCACCATGCCTGGCTAATTTTTTTTTTTTTTTGAGTTGAAATCTCACTCTGTCGCTCAGACTGAAGTACAGTGGCTGCTCCCAGCCACCGCAACCTCGACCTGCTGGGCTCAGGCAATCCTTCCACCTCAGTCTTCCAAGTAGCTGGAACTACACGCACGCACTACCACGCCCAGCTAATTTTTGATTTATGGTAGATATGAGGTCTCTCCAAGTTGCCCAGGCGGGTCTCGAACCCGCAGGCTCAGGCAATCCACTCACCTCAGCCTCCCAAAGCGAGGGATTATAGGCTGAGCCACCGAGTCCAGCTTTTTAAAAAAAATTTCATTGTAGAGATGAGGTCTTGCCAAGTTGCCCAGGCTCGTCTCAAACCAAGATTTCTCAGGCAATCTCTCACCTCAGCCTCCCAAAGTGCTGGGATTATAGGCGTGAGCCACTGTGCCCAAGTTTTTAAGACCTCATGACTTAAAGGAAAGCCAATCTCTTCTATAGATTTGTTTTCATATGCAAACTATGATGGAGGGGCGAATTCTACTAACTCACCTACTTCTGCTGAATCTGTTTTTCTCAAAATTCCCCTCTATTCACACAACTACTGGCACAAGCAATTAAAAACTCAGGAGTGGTTATTCTTTATTCAATCTTTTAAAGTTACGACATGAAACTTTTTTTTTTTAGTTGGGTTTCACTCTGTCTCCCAGGCTGGAGTACAGTGGCATGCTCACGGCCACTGCAGCCATGACCTCCTGGGCTCAGGTGATCCTTCTGCCTTGGTCTCCCTAGTAGTTGGGACTTCAGGTGCACACCACCATGTCTGGCTAATTTTTAAATTCTTTTGTAGAGATGAGGTCTCACTATGCTGCCCAGGCTAGTCTTAAACTTCTGAGCTCAAGAGATCCTCCCGCCTGGGCCTCTTAAAGTGTGGAATGACAAGTGTGAGCCACTGTGCCAGGCCATAAAACCGTTAAAGTAATATAACCATATTAAACTTGAAAAACCAATTTCAGTTGTTCCTTGGGAGTTTGAACTTGGAACAGATCAACAAGAGCAGAAAAAATGTTGACAAGAAAATAAGTAAGCCGGGCTCGGTGGCTCAGTCTGTAATCCCGCGCCTTTGGGAGGCTGAGGTGAGTGGATTGCCTGAGCCCACGGGTTCGAGGTCCGCCTGGGCAACTTGGCGAGAGTTCATCTCTACAATAAATCAAAATGAGCCAGGTGTGGTAGCGCACGCCTGTAGTTCCAACTACTCGGAAGGCTGAGGCGGAAGGATTGCCGGAGCCCAGCAGGTCGAGGCTGTGGTGGCCGGGAGCGGCCACTGCACTCCAGTCTGGGTGACAGGGTGAGACTCCAACTCAAAAAAAAAAAGAAAGAAAGAAAATAAGTAAATGCATAAAGCCCTGCTCCTGGGTCCCTGGTCTGGCCCCTGTGCAGCTGGCCAGGCCCCTATACTTCCCAGAATCTGGTTGTCCAACTTTCCTGGTCTTTCCAGGAGTTCCATTTTGCTTTTATTGGTCAGAGCTCCAGTTTCTGTGGCTGCATTCAGAGAGCCTCTGTGATAGGCGTCTGAGGGCTGTGGAGCCTGCGTGAGCATTGTAACAGCCCTGCCCACAGGCAGGTGGCTTCTCTCAGCCTGAAGGTGAGGAAGGGGACGAAGCAGGAGAAGCCTGTGAACTTCAGTGTGGGCAGGGCCTGGACAGGGAAGAGGCTCTCGGGCTTGGCCCCACCCCCCACCCCCTGGAGGCAGGAGCAGGTTCTGGCCAGGCCTCTGCTTATGGGGGATGCTCTTCCCCAGGCCCCAGGACGCAGCGCACATGACTCAGGTGGCTTGGCGCTGGGCACGGTGCCTGCCCACCGAGGTCCCCCAAGTGGGGTCATGAGAATTTCTAGGAGCATGCTGTCTTTTTTTTTTTGAGTCAGAGTCTCACTCTGTCACCCAGGCTGGAGGGCAGTGGCACTCTCACAGCCACCATAGCCTCAAACTGCAGGGCTCAGGTGATCCTTCCACCTCAGCCTTCTAAGTAGCTGGAACTACAGGTACCCACCACCACGCCCGGCTAATTTTTTTGACTTATTGTAGAGATAAGGTCTCGCATGCCAAGTTGCCCAGGCTGGACTCGAACCCATGGGCTCAGGCAATCCTCTCACTTTGGCCTCCTGAAGTGCTGGGATTTTTTTTTTTTTCAAACCCAGTTCACTGCACACTGATAATTCTCTTTTTGTTTTGTTGTTGTTGTTGTTGTTGTTTTTTTGAGTTGGAGTCTCACTCTGTCGCCCAGACTGGAGTGCAATGGCCGCTCCCGGCCACCGCAGCCTCGACCTGCTGGGCTCCGGCGATCCTTCCGCCTCAGTCTTCCGAGTAGCCGGAATTACAGGTGCGCACTACCACGCCTGGCTGATTTTTGATTTATTGTAGAGATGAGGTCTCGCTGCCCAGGCGGGTCTCGAACCCGCGGGCTCAGGCAATCCACTCACCTCAGCCTCCCAAAGGCGCGGGATTACAGGCTGAGCCACCGAGCCCGGCTTGTTTTTGTTTTTTAGGGACAAGATCTTGCTGTATGGCTCAGGCTGGAGTGCAATGACACGATCACGGCTCACTGCCGCCTCAAATGCCTGGGCGCAAGCAACCCTACCGCCTTAGCCTCCCAAAGTGCTGGGATTACGGGTGTGAACCACCATGCCCGGCCAGGGCCCTTGCTTTGATGATGGCTGGGAGGAGTCACAGGACCCAGCAGGGAGTCTCACTCGGGGCTAAACTGCAATGCAGCAAAAGGGTGCAGAGCAAAGCCAGCTGGGAAGAAGTACCTGGGGCACATGCAGGGGCAGGCCTGGCTTCCTGAGGCCTCTGCTGGGGAGTGACACGGGACATGTTCAGTTCCCCAGCAACGGGCGGTGACAGCATGTGTGAGATGTCATCTAACAGGTGGCTCTCCAGACTTGGCGCCCAGGGCTCCCCTGGGGGCTGGTCACGCGAGCACCTGACACCCACTGCAACCCCAATCTCAGTCTCTCAGCAGGCAGTTCACACTAACAAGGCTCACAGTGACGCAGGTGATGAGGCGATGCCAGACCTCATCACGCTAGCAGGCTGATAACGCTGGAAGGAAAGCAGGAGAAGAGAGATGCTCCCCAGATCCAACAGCTTTGGGGGCGCCTGTGAGGATTCCATGAGAATCCTCGAGGCCTGCAACTTCCAGGACCTCTCTCCACCTCCCTGCCTCCTGACTTCTCCCGTGTCCCTCCAGATGGCCTCCTGTTTGGTCCCTGCTCCCCCCCAGCCCTGTCCTCAGGCTGTCCTCACAGCAGCTGGGGGGACATTTGAAACGTCAGCCTGGTCACAGCCAGGCCACCACGCACACCCACAGGGGTCCCATCTCTCCCTGAGTTGGAATCAGCAAGGTGACCAGGCTCGGTGCCTCTGCCCATCTCCTTCCAGGCATCTGCCTAGGTCAGAGCAGCCAGAGTGTGCAGCTCAGTGCTGTGCCCCCGCCCCGTCTCACCCCCGCCTCCCGCTTCTGACATGCAGGATGTTTACTGAGCATGTCTTTCCTCCTCCCTACCTGCAAGTCAGCATGGCCAGAGTGGGCATCTCAGCGCCGCCCCCCTTCCCAACATGCAGGATGTTTCCAGAGTATGTCCCTCTTCCTCCCCCTTCCCTGCAGGACCAGCCCCCAGAGAAGGGTCTTTCTCTGATGAACCCGTGCACGCATCTCTGAAGTGAGCGCCCTCTCCTGTCCCCTCGAGAGCCTCCCTGGTCTGCCCCCCAGATGGGTAAGGAAGGCCATTCCTGGTCCTCCTCCCCTTCCTCCACAGAGAGACCAAAGGCCTCGGCCGGCGTGCTCACCTGACCCCTTGGCTGTCTCATCGAATTCCACCTGGAAGAGGTAGCCAGTGTTCCAGATGTACAGGCAGGACGCTGCATCGTAGGAGACCCGGAGTGGCCCCAGTTGGGGGTCATAGATGCTGTCCCTCCACTGGATGTTGATGGGAGACTGCCGGGTGCCCTCTGGCACCGAGACTGGGCCCGTCCAGAGGGGGTGCACTGGGGCAGAAAGAAGGAGACTCCGACTGAGGTGGTGGCCTCTCCCTGTGTCTCACGGACATGGCAGAAATGCAGCCACAGAAGGCTCATGGGACCTGGCTTGGGGAACGGACTCCATGGGAGCCGGGGCTGCCAACCCTCGGGGCTGGCTCCCTGCTACGTGGGCACTGCCCCTGCTCCTCTCCACCCCGGACCACGTGGGGGCTCCTCCCCTGTGCCCGTGCTGCCCATGTGGTCACATGAGAGCCCAAGGAGGCAGGCTGGTAGTGAGGACTCTGGCGGGAAGGAGGCCAGGGCAGTGGGCTCCCTGCCCTCAGGAAGGTGGGAAGCCTCTCTTCCCAGTCCCGGGAAACCCACTTGAGAGTCCATGGGAGCCAAGGGCTTGAGCTTCCCTGCTGGGGGCTGAGTGGAAGAGCCCTGGCCCCCTTGTCTCGAGTTCGCTTCAAATTGTTTTGATGCGATTTTATTTTTTTTTAATTTTTAAAAGATTTTTTTGGTTTTTTTTTGTGCGATTTTAAAGTAAGGTGCATGAATCAAAAACAGTTCAGAAAATACAGAAAAGTTTATAGAGGATTAAGAAGCTGTAATGTCACCCCTGGTGTGTCTGCCCAGCTGCTCTCTGTGCAAATAGCCTCCTGGAAGAGAGATCTGGGTTTCTTTTTTAATGAACAGAGATCTTGCACTCTGTATTATCTTACAAGCTATCTTTAACACTTAACATTGTGAACTCATTTTGTCAGTGAAAAAGCATATATAATTCTTTTTTATTTTTATTTTTTTTGAGTAGGGTCTTGTTCTGTTGTCTAGGCTGGAGTGCAGCGACACAATCATGGCTAACTGCAGCCTCAACCTCCTAGGTTCAGGCAATCCTCCCGCCTCAGCCTCCCGAGTAGCTGGGGCTACAGTCACATGCCACCATACTTGGCTAGTTTGTTGATTTATTATAGAGATGATGTCTCGCTAAGTTGCCCAGCTGGTCTCGAACCCTAGGCTCAGGCAGTACTCTTGCCTCCACCTCCCAAAGTGCTGGGATGACAGGTGTGAGCAACTGCACCTGGTCACAATTCTTTTTTTTTTTTTTGAGTTGGAGTCTCACTCCATCGCCCAGGCTGGAGTGCAGTGGCACGCTCATGGCCACCTCAGCATCGACCTGCTGGGCTCCGGTAATCCTTCTACCTCAGCCTTCCAAGTAGCCAGAGATACAGCCGCATGCTACCATGCCTGGCGAATTTTATTTTTATTGTAGACATGAGGTCTCACCATGTTGCCCAGGCTGGTCTTGAACCCAAGGACTCAGGCAATCCTCTTGCCTCGGCCTCCCAAAGTGATGGGATTACAGGCTTGCACCACCATGCCCCCCACAATTATTTTTAATGGTGGTGCACTTCCACTGTACAGGTATGCCACAGCTTTAAAAACCAATTATTTAGTGTTGATATTTAGATTGTTTGTAATTTTTTGCAATTTTAAACAAAGCAGTGATGAAGTTCCAATGACTTCTTTGTATTCTTGCCGGAATGATTTTCTTTCTCATGAACGCCTGACCACAGAATTACTGGGTCAAAGGGTATGTCATCAGAATTCTAGAAAACAAGGAGAAAGTTTTGTGGCCCCTGTTGGAAATTGTTCTCCCACCCTGAGGGTCTAGAGGCTGACACATTATATGTTTTGCTCTTTAATGAACTCAACAAGTTATTTATCTATCTATCTATTTATTTATTTATTTATTGAGTTGAAGTCTCACTCTGTCGCCCAGACTGGGGTACAATGGCCGCTCCCGGCCACTGCAGCCTCAACCTGCTGCGGCTCCGGCGATCCTTCCGCCTCAGCCTTCCAAGTAGCTGGAATTACAGGCGCGCGCTACCACGCCCAGATAATTTTTGATTTATTGTGGAGATGAGGTCTCACCAAGTTGCCCAGGCGGGTCTCAAACCCGCGGGTTCAGGTAATCCACTCATCTCAGCCTCCCAAGGCGCGGGATTACAGGCTGAGCCACCGAGCCTGGCTTCAACAAGTTTGTTAAGGAGAAGTCACTTAATAAGTGAACTATCAGAGGTCAGTAGAATGTATACTACATTTTTCAATGAAAATGTAAAATCTACAGCTGGGCATGGTGGCATGCGCCTGTGGTTCCAGCTACTTGGAATGCTGAGGTGGAAGGATCACCTGAGCCCAGCAGGTCGATACTGGGGTGGCTGTGAGTGTGCCACTGTATTCCAGCCTGGGCAACAAAGTGAGTCACCGATTCAAAAAAATAAAATAAAATAAAATAAAGACTGTAGAATCGTAGAATGTTTATTCCAAGTTGCGATCTTTCCTATCTTTCAGTGGTAAAAAGTCTTTTCTCATAGGAAATAATAGTGATGGTGGATAGTGGGTTGTTCATTTGCTTATTTAATTTTTTCTTTTCTTTTCTTTTCTTTTTTTTTTTTGAGTTGGAGTCTCACTCGGTTGCCCAGACTGAAGTGCAGTGACTGCTCCCGGCCACCGCAGCCTCGACCTGCTGGGCTCTGGTGATCCTTCCGCCTCAGCCTTCCAAGTAGCTGGAACTACAGGCGTGCGCTACCATGCCCGCCTAGTTTTTTTTTTTTTTATTTATTTTGGAGATGAGGTCTCGCCAGGTTGCCCAGGCGGGTCTCGAACCTGCGGGCTCAGGCAATCCACTCACCTCAGCCTCCCAAAGGCGCGGGATTACAGGCTGAGCCACCGAGCCTGGCTCTTTTCTTTTTTTTTAAATTGGGGTCTCATTCTGTCATCCAGGCTGGAGTGCAGTGGCATGACCATGGCTCACTTCAGCCTCAACCTCCTGCGCCCAGGTGACTTCTCACTTAAGCCTCCTGAGTAGCTGGGACTACTGGTGTGAGCCACCACACCCAGCAATTTTTTTTTTTTTTTTTTTTTTTTTTTTTTTTAAAATGGGGTCTTGCTATGCTGCCCAGGCTGGTCTCAAACTCCTGGGCTCAAGCAATCCTCCTGCCTTGGCCTCCTAAGGTGTTGGGATGACAGGCATGAGACACCACGCCCGGCCTAGGCAGTGGATGTTTGACACAGCTGCATGGACCTGGGTATAGATGGAATCCAGGAGCAGCTGAGGCACAGCAAAGACCGTCACCTGTCAGGGGGCTTGGGTCTCTCAGGCTCCCTGACTTATGACGCGAGTGCAGCACAAACGGGCCCTCAGTAGTGAATCATCTGTGCTGGTGTCTGCCGTCAGCAGAAGGGCATTGCTCACCACTGCGTGCACAGAGGTGATGCCACCTGAATACTCAATAGGCTTCAGACATTTACTCACGGTGGCCCTGACCTCCATGGTGATGCCGGCATGCAACAAGGCCAGTCTGTGCTAACTCAAGTAGATCTCTGCCGGGAAGTAATACCAAGAAAATATTGGCCAAGTGCAGGGGCTCATACCTGTCATCCCAGTCTTTGGGAGGCTGAGGCAGGAGGGCAGGAGGATCGTTAGAGGCTGAGGCGGGAGGATCGCTTGAGCCATGATCATACCACTGCACTTCAGTCTGGGCAACAGAGAGAGATCCCGACTGAAAAAAAAAATGACGAAGTGATGCGTATAGAAGCCTGGCACACATCAGACTCTCGTTGGCTGTCCACATCTGAGGATGAATCGCAGCCTCTGTCTGGAGTCCACAGGGCCTTCTGTGAAAGCCTCTGCACCCTGCCCTGGCTCCTGTCACAGGGGAGCTCAGGCCTGTGGTGGGGGAGTCTCCCAGGCAGAGGACACAGGAGTCTGGAAGTCGCTTGAAGGCTCAGAGCGCAGGAAACCCAAGGAGACTCCAGGGCGTGGAAACAGGAAACCAGGTGTCAGGCTCCACGCTTTAAATGCCACACCCACAAGGCTTGGGGCAGACACTTCGTCACCTCTCTAGCTGTCCTGTCCCTAATCCTGGTGACCTCAGCGACCCCAACCCGCCAAGGGGGGGGTCCCTGGAGGCCACCACAGCCTCCAGGAGCCTGCGGGGCAAGCAGACCCTTGTGCCCCCACCCATGACCCTCGCGTGGCGCAGAGGGCATGTGCTAAGGGACGAGGTCCCTCCCGCCCAGACCCTCTGCCCACCTCCAGAGGCAAGTGATGTGCATAGTTTAGGGTGTAGCCTTGATTTGGTCCTCCATGCACTGGGACCGTGTGTCTGTGCTGCATGGGACTTCTCAGAACTCCAGAAGCACAGTGCTCAGTGCTGACCTGTCGGCTGCCCTCTTCCCTTAATTGTGGCCATCTTTCCAACTGTTTCTCAGTGCCTGTCCCCTCTTTCTGTTTTTTTGGGGGGAGGGGGTTTGGACCACACTCTGTCACCCAGGCTGGAGTGCAGGGGCACGGTCATGGCTCACCACATCCTCGATCTCTTGGGCTCAGGTGATCCTTCCTCCTCAGCCTACCAAGTAGCTGAGACTACAAGTGCACACCACCCTGTCCAGTTAATTAAAAAAAAAGAAATTTTGTAGAGACAAGGTCTCACATGTTGCCCAGGTTGGCCTCCACCTCCTGGGCTCCAGCGATCTTCCTACCTCAGCTTCCTAAAGTGCTGAGATTACAGGCGTGAGTCACCGTGCTCGGCCAGAAGCATGTAATAAGGATTTTCTTTTCTTTTTTTTTTTTGAGTTGGAGTCTCACTCTGTCGCCCAGACTGGAGTGCAGTGGCCGCTCCCGGCCACCGCAGCCTCGACCTGCTGGGCTCCGGCGATCCTTCCGCCTCAGCCTTCCAAGTAGCTGGAATTACAGGCATGCGCTACCACGCCCGGCTGATTTTTTGATTTATTGTAGAGATGAGGTCTCGCTGCCCAGGCGGGTCTCGAACCCGCGGGCTCAGGCAATCCACTCACCTCAGCCTCCCAAAGGCGCGGGATCACAGGCTGAGCCACCAAGCCCGGCTTATAATAAGGACTTTCAAGCAGAAGCCGTGTCTGTGTCTCAGCATCGGCGAGACGAGATGGTGGATGCTAGCACCACGGCCCCCCAGACTGAGGGCTCAACCGGCGTAGGGAAGGGGCGGCTCAGAAGGCCACACAGGACAGTTGAAGTCCGATGACATCAAGGTTGTGGAACCTACAGGCAGGGTCTACAGTGAGTCCCTGATCCTACCAAGAAACAGGAGAGAAATGGGAATTCTTCGGGGCCTTCCTGGAATGGGGGCTGATTACAACATGGTGGGTCAGCCCCCCAGTGCCTCAGCCTCCAAAGTTCGCTGAGTGGTAAGAAACCTGGAGCGTGGGATGTATTAGGCAGAGGGGGTCTCTTTCTAGACTCCATGAGAATCAGCGGCAGGTGTGGAAGCTCCCTGGGGCAGGGACCTTGGCTTGGTATTTGATTCCATGCCCCCACACACAGGCCAAGGCTTGCCCCGTGGGAGGAGCTCTCTAAATATTTGTTGAGGGATTGAAAAATAGGAGGACTTTTTACATTTTTCATTTCTTTTTGAGCTGCAGTCTCACTGTTGCCCAGGCTGGAATGCAGTGGCACATTCTTGGCTACCCCAGCCTCTACCTGCTGGGCTCAGGTGATCCTCCTGCCTCAGCCTTCCAAGTAGCTGGAATTTCAGGCATGTGCCACCACATCCAGCTAATTTTTTGAGTTATTGTACAGACGAGGTCTCACCAAGTTGTCCAGCCTGGTCTTAAACTCCTGGACTCAGGCAATCCTCTCACCTCTGCCTCCCAAAGTGCGGGGATTATAGGTGTGAGCCACTATGCCCAGCTTTCTTTATTTCTTATTTTCTTTTGAGTCGGAGTCTTACTCTGTCACCTAGACTGGAGTGCAGTGGCAAGCTCATGGCCACCACAGCCTCGACCTGTTGGGCTCAGGCTATCCTTCCACCTCAGCCTCCCGAGTAACTGGGACTACAGGTGTGTGCCACCATACCCGGCTAATTTTTTAATTTATTGCAGAGACAAGGACTTACTGTGTTCCCCAGCTGGTCTTGAACTCCTGGGCTTAGGCAATCCTTTCACTTCTGCCTCCCAAAGTGCTGGGATGACAGACATGAGCCACTGGGACTGGCTGACCCTTTTTTTTGAGTCAGGGTCTCACTGTAGCCCAGGTTGGAGTACAGTAGCATGATTGCAGCTCACTGCAGCCTCGACTTCCTGGGCTCAGGTGATCCTCCTGTCTCAGCCTTCTGAATAGCTGGGACTACAGGCATATGCCACCATGCCTGACTAATTTATTTAGAGACAGGGTCTCACTATGTTGCCCAGGCTGGTCTTGAACTCCCAGGCTCAGAGAATACTCCTGCCTCTGTCTCTCAAAATGCTAGGATTACATGTATAAGCCACCATGCCTACCCTCTACCTTTTTAAAAACAATTTTTTGCAGAGACAAGCTCTCACTATGTTGTCCAGCTGGACTTGAACTCCTGAGCTCGAGCGATCCTCCCACCTCAGCCTCCCAAAGTGCTGGGACTATATGGGCGTGAGCCACTGCATCCACCCACTTCATCCTTCCATGACAATGTCTAGTCATCCCCATTCAACAGAGGAGGAAATGGAGGCTGGGGGTGAGGCACGTGCCCAAGTTCCTCCTCTGACCAGTGTCACCAGCACCCATATGCAGTGGGGTCTGGCTCTGAAGCCCGTGCACGTTCAATGACCAAATCATAGAACATGGGGAATATCACAGTTAGGGGAGAACTGGCAGCCACTGCGGAGGCCCTTATTTTACAGAGGTAGAAGAATCTGAGCCCCAGAAGGAGGAAGGGCCAAGGCCAAGGTCATGGAGCACTGACAATGTGCCTGGGGTGAGGCTGGCACGGGCTAGTTTCTTGGCAGAGCTGGCTGAGTGGTCTATCTATTTATTTTTATTTATTTTATTTTTTGAGTCGGAGTCTCACTCTGTCGCCCAGACTGGAGTGCCGTGGCCGCTCCCGGCCACTGCAGCCTCGACCTGCTGGGCTCCGGCAATCCTTCCGCCTCAGCCTTCCAAGTAGCTGGAACTAAAGGTACCCGCTACCATGCCCGGCTAATTTTTGATTTATTGTAGAGATGAGGTGTCGCCAAGTTGCCCAGGCTGGTCTCGAACCCGCGGGCTCAGGCAATCCACTCACCTCAGCTTCCCAAGGCGCGGGATTACAGGCTGAGCCACTGAGCCTGGCTTAAACTGTTTTTTAAAAGTGGCCTATCTATTTTTATTTAAACTGTCACCCAGGCTGGAGCGCAGTGGCGCAATCACGGCTCACTGCAGCCTCGACCTCCTGGGCACAGGTGATCTTCCTGCCTCAGCCTCCTGAGTGGCTGGGACTACAGGCATGGACCACCACGTCAGGCTAATTTTTTAACTTTTTATAGAAACGAGATTACACTACGTTGCCCAGGCTGGTGATGAACTCCTGGGCTCAAGCAGTCCTCCCATCTCAGCCTCCCAAAGTGCTGGGATTACAGGCATGAGCCACTGAGCCCTGCTGAGTCCTCTATTTATTACATTGAAAGGTTCTTTGCTGATGAGGTTTAGGGGCGACAGTGACTGGTTGGTGCAGCCTGACTCCTCGGGGCTGGACTGGGAGTGACAGAGCAAGTCTTACTGTCTGCCCTGCTCCGTGGCCCTCCCGAAGGCCCGTGAGCCTGAGTCTAAATGATTTGCCACAGTCTCCAGATGCCAAAGAGACAGGGATGGGGCGGGAGCCTGGACTCAGGACTGTCTCTCGTTGTGAAAGACACCATAAACTTAGACAAGCATGGAGTCGTGTCAGGGAGGTTCGGGGGTCCACTTACAGGCTGGGGTCTTGCCTCTCTGGGTGCAGGAGTGCTGAGAACACTGTCGCTGTGGCTGTGGCAGGGAACCCTGGAGAGGCCCCCATACCTGCTTGACCAAGGCAGAGAGACCCGAGGCTTTCCAGCAGCGACTTCCCAGCATCTTGGGTCTGTGTCTGCGGGCACCAATCCTATCGTTCGCCCTCGCCTTGAGAGGACTGCTGTGGACCGCCGTGCACCCCTGTCTTCTGTAGAAACTCTCCAACCCCTAACCCTAACGGTTAAAGTCCAACCTGTGCCTTTTCCAACTCATAGGATGATGTTTGATTTGGCCTGGGTGCGGGTGCTTGGGGACAAGTGGCCTCCACTGGGGACAGGTCACTCGAGTCACCAGGCTTCGATCTCACAAACAACAGAGCAAATCTTCAGGTGACAGGAAAACCACAGAGAGGCTGCTGTGAGTCCCTGTGTGCAAGGCTGGAGTCCCTGCTCTTGGGTGTGGACCCTGTGGCCGGGGCCATGGATCTTTGAGACCAGGCACAAGGCTACATCGTGTGTGAGCCCAGAGCAGCAGGTTCTGAAGTCCAGGATGGGGGTAGGTGGTACCGTCTGTCGGGGAGTCCTGAAGATGGCAGCCTTCACATATCACAAACTAGGTGCGATTCGATTGGACTCACTCTCCCCCAAGTGAGATGGCCCGGGGCCTGGACACTCGGGCTGGATGGTGGTCCTGGCATCTCATGCACAGTGTTCACGTGTGGACAGTGCGTCAGGTGGTTGCCTGACCAGCTAGCTGGCTGCATCTGCAGACACAAACCCGCGAGGAAGCCTGCTGTGGCCCGTCCCACAGCTTGTCCCTGATAACTTCGCCTGTGGAGCTGAGCCCACAGGGTCCGGGTGGACGTGTCTGTAACATGTTGTTGTTGTCTGGAACTTGCAGCTATTAGAGGACAGGGTTGCGTACTTATCACCGACCCCAAGAATCTTGGACCTGGAAAACTCAAGTGTGTGTAGGCTCCAGAGAGCCTGAGAACCCCTACAGAATTGTGGTGGGCAGCTTCAGGCCACCATGATGCTGGGTCACAAAATCCAAGTACTTTCCTTCCCACAGAGTTATTTGGAAATGCATCACCCTTGGGAGCCTGACTCATTAATTCACTCATGCATTCATTTGTTGACCCGTGCCTCAGTTTCTTCATCTGTAAAGAAAGCAGGGAAGCAGCACGCTGCAGGGCCACGGTGAAGGTCTAATGAGCTGACAGTAGCAAGCCCTCAGGGGGCGCTTCCATGGCTGTAGGTCCAGCATGCCCTCTCCTCCAACAGTAAGCTCCCCCGTTCATGCCCACCAGTCTGCAGACATGCTTCAGGCTCGTGGGCCACAGCCTCCACTGTCCCCGGCCGTAATCCACCTGCAGCCTGTTCGTTTCAGGCGACTGCATTGGTGCAGTGCCCGTGGGTTCCCAACCTCCACCACCCCAAGGCAGAACTCTACCACGAGAAAAGACGACCAGCCCCAGGGGATCAAATGGGGCTCTCAGAGGGACAGATCCACGGGCAGATGGGAGAGCCATGGGCAGATGGGTGGACGGACGAGAGAGACAGATAGGGTAGGTAGGTGGATAGGTCAGACAGAGAGAGACAGAGATAGAGAGAGGCGGAGTTCTCAGAGGGACAGAGCAACAGGCAGGCAGATGGATGGACGGACAGACAGGAGGGACAGATAGGGTAGCTAGGTAGGTGGGTAGGTGGATAGGTTAGACACAGATACAGAGTGGCAGAGCTCTCAGAGGGACAGAGCCACGGGCGAACAGATGGACGGACAGATGGATGGATGGATGGGAGAGACAGGTAGCGTAGTTAGGTAGGTAGATGGATAGGTTAGATAGATAGATAGAGACAGAGATAAAAAAAGAGATAGAGAGATAGAGAAATAGAGACAGAAATTGAGAAATAGAGAGACAGATACAGAGATATACAGAGATGGATAAAGAGATAGATACAGAGATAGAAAGATACAGAGATAAAGATGGATGGATGGATGATAGATGGGGGAGGGAGAGAGGGGGGAGGGATGGAGAGACAGAGGGAGAGAGGTGTGTCAGCAGAGTCTCTTGGGGGATGGGCTTGCACAGTGATGGAGCCCGAGGAACCCCTGATAGGCAGCCTGCCATCTGAGGCCGCTAGGGTGCTGGCATTGTGGCTCAGTCCACATCCAAAGGCCTCAGGGCCAGGGACACTGATGGTGTAACTCTCCGCCCAAGGCCAAGGGCCTGAGAACTCAGCAGGGGTGGGTGTCCCCCAGCAGGTCCTGGAGTCCCAGGGCCAGGGAGTCCGGAGTTGCTGCCCCTGGATAGAGAGGATGAGTGTGTCCCAGCCAGCAGGCAGTTGACGCTGGCATCTTTCTCTGCTCTCTGGGTCCAGCAGGCTGGGTGGTGCGGTCCACATTGAGGGCCAACTTCCCCGGCGGCTCCACTCTGACTCACAGGCTCATCTCCTTTGTAACACCTTCTCGGACACACCCCAAAATAACACTCTCCGGGCTTCTAGGAATCCCTTAATCCTGTCAGGTGGACACCTGCAGTGAGCCATCACACCTGCTGGTCACACAGCTAACAGACACCATTTCAGTTGTCATCACAGTAGAGATGGAGACCACTGTCATCGAAAGTGCATTATGCCACACGCACGCATGCTTCAGGAAAGGTGTCCAAGCAGCTCAGAGGGCAAAGGTCGCACTCTCTTTCCCAGAGTGAACTGCTGTTAGCAGTTGCTTCTGGCTCTTTCTGGAAAGTTCCATATCATATAAATTTCCTATACATGTATTTTTTTATACATATTATTTATGGTCACAATAATTTTCACGAGTAATTTTTTTTTTTGAGCTGGAGTCTCACTCTGTCACCCAGACTGGAGTGCAGTGGCCGCTGCCGGCCACCACAGCCTCAACCTGCTGGGCCCGGCGATCCTTCTGCCTTAGCCTTCCGAGTAGCTGGAACTACAGGCGCGTGCTACCACGCCCGGCTAATTTTTTGATTTATTGTAGAGATGAGGTCTCGCCAAGTTGCCCAGGCAGGTCTCGAATCTGTGGGCTCAGGCAATTCACTCACCTCAGCCTCCCAAGGCGCGGGATTACAGGCTGAACCACCGAGCCCAGCTCAATAATTTTTAAATTATAGCTCTTCATAAAAAAGCAAACAAACAAAACCCCAAAAACAAAAACTGCAGAATATCCTGCTGAATACATACCATTATTTATTAAATTATAGCCTCCCAGATGAATACTTAGGCTATTTCCAGTTTTTATGTATTTTTAAAATATTTATTTATTTGAGTTGTAGTCTCAATCTGTTGCCCAGGCTGGAGTGCAGTAGCAATCATGGCCACTACAACCTTGAAGCAATCCTTCCACCTCAGCCTCCTAAGCAGCTGGAACCACAGTGCGTGTCACCACACCCAACTAATTTTTTACTTATTATAAAGACGAGGTCTCACCAAATTGTCCAGGCTGGTCTTGAACCCCTGGGCTCAGGCAATTCTCTTGTCTCATCCTCCCAGAGTGCTGGGATTACGGGTGTGAGCCATCACGCCAGGCCAGTTTTTGTGGGTTTTTTTTCTGAATAGAATTCCTAAGTTTGACACTTATGGTGAAAGGGTAAGTGTATTGAGCTTTTGATATTTGTGTCAAGTAACTCTCCCAAGAGACCATACTCTTATCCACTCACCTTCTATTTTAAGCCCAAATGTGTCATAGTTATCGAAGCCAATGCTTTCTAACTTGTTACTGCCTCACACACAAATCACCCGTCAGAGGCCTTCACATGACCTGTACTTTTCTGCTGGCTGTGAATTTCTCACTTGGAGTTGTGATGGCTATTTTTATAAGTCAACTTGGCCAGGCCATGGTACCCAGATATTTGGCTGAACATCATTCTGGATGAGGGTATTTTTAAAAAACTTTACCTGCATTTTATCTATTGTTGAATAGAGATGAAGTCTTGCTATGTTGCCCAGGCTGGTCAAAGGTATTTTTGGAATGTGATTAGCATATCTAACTGAATTTTGAATTAAGCAGATCACCCTTCACACTGTGAGTGGGCTTCACTGAATCAGTTGAAGGCCTAAACAGAACCAAAGCCTGACACCTGTCTCCTCTGCTCTGCCCCGATGAGCAGGGTTTCTACTGGCCCTGAAACATGAGCTGCAATTCTTCCAGAACTCCTAGTCTGCCAGCCACCCTGCCACATCTGGGTCTTTCCAAGCAAGCCTCCAAATTACAGGAGCCACTTCCTTGAGGTGAATCTCTCCCTGTCTCTACAGATGGGTGGAGGGATACACACACACACACACACACCCCCCACCCTCTCTCTAGACACACATTCTGGTCTGTTTCTCTGGAGAACCTTGTCTAACCCAGGAGGCAAAGTGACTACATAACTAAAGAGCATTTCTCCATTTCTCAAATTAGAGGGTCTGAGGTCATGACATTGCTCTTCCCTGCCTGCTTAACAAATATGCTTCATGTTCAAACCCACACCGTGAAACTCAGGTCCTCCGACTCCAGAAGGGAGCAGGCATGCCCGGGCAGTCCTACTGGGCGTGGGCAGGGGAGGATGCAGTCTCTGTTTCTATTGTATCATCCCTCTTGCCTGTTCATATGTTCTTCTTTTCATGTTTCCCGGAGCACATGGAACATTAATGCCCAGTACATGGATGCGGTTGACACACAAACATGTGCTTGTTGGGATAGTGTGCTGAGGGGAAATAGTCAGAGACCTGGAGCCTGTTCTTGGATGCTCAGGCTCTTGGTGTCACTTTTTTCCCACGGGGCTTCCTTCTCATGTGACAGAAATGGAAGTGCACTCCCAGGTGCAGCAGGACGCTCTCCATCCTGCTCCCAATCCCCTGGTGACACGCTGTGCAGGGAGAAACTCTATTACAGCTGAAAAAATACGCAGGAAAGACTTGCTTCTGGCCAGCGTGGTGGCTCAAGCCTGTAATCCCAGCACTTTGAGAGGTCGAGACAAGAGGATTGCCTGAGTTCAGGGGTTCAAGACTAGACTGGGTGACTTGGTGAGGCCTCGTCTCCACAATAAATCAAATAATAAGTCAGTCGTAGTAGCGTGTGCCTATAGTTCCAGATACTTGGAAGGCTGAGGTGGAAAG